GAAGGCTGGGGACATCCAGAGATTCAAGGCTGGATCACGGTGTTGTTTTACAGCTGTTTACAAGCTGGCCCAGAGCAGACATCAAACTTTTTCATTAAAGATTTTTGAGTGATCAGCTTTATGAAAATTTTAGGTATTTTGCTGCTGAAAACAGTCAGCAAGTGTTCAGTCAACAGTAACTATATATAGTTTATAGACTTAGTATCAAACAGACCTTTTCTGTTCTGTCTTTGTAACTTTTTAGAACAACACACTTATGACTTGAATCTGTCTATATAACATAAATGTCACGCAGCATGAATGTCTGACTCAAATGCTAAAATGTGTTAAAGAATGACATACATCCAACTGAAAGAATGTTGTTCTTGAACTGATCTTTGACCCCTGAGCCCCTTGTCTCCAGGGTATCGCTCTGCTATGTTCCTTGCCATGTGCAGCCCGTATACATTTGTGGGTTGTGTTTCTTGTATGTGTTGGTGGATGAGTGCAGGGTGGGGGTCCTAAATGAGCGACGTACTTCATAGTTTCTAATAAAACAATTTGAAGTTTCTGCTCAAGACAGCAGCAGTTTTGTTTCTAATTTTGTGGCTATCGCTTGCTCAACATGCAGTGTAGTGTCTTCACCAGATTAAACACAAACCTTCTTTTTAGCTTCAGCACCAAATGTTCCTCTCAGTCTATTTCCATCCTGGTGTTTGTTGGGAAATAGTATGACTGGTCTGTGGGGAGGGTGAATGTGTGTGTGGAGTTGTCTTAGATGAGCTGACCTGTTATGAGCTTATGCGCGTTCTGTCACTTAAGTAAAGCTGGTGTAATCCTGTAAGGGCGGATGAGTAGACAGACGTGATGCCCCACTTGTTTCTTAGGTGGACGGTGGTGAAGTGGGTGGGGGGTGGCAGGCATTATCGAGCAGATGGAGAGGCTCTGTGGTGTATGTGGGTGTGTGACTGATTAGAGACAATACTAACTGAAACTTTATCAGATGTTTTTTATTCACAGTAATAAAACACAGCAACTCTTTGACTGGGGGTCGAAGTGATGCAGTGGAGAGGTAGCCAGATCCAGATTTCAGTGGGTTCAAGCCTCAGTCAGTCTGACATGTTTTTGCTCACTCTGACCATCACAGTCAGTTAGCAGAGACTTCCTATCCTCTGCTCCCCCACCCCACACCACCACCACCAGATTAAATCCACTACATTGTACCGACTGCACACTTTTCTCTCCTCAAGGACGACACACATTCTCACACGTGAGGGTAGTTTACTTGCTGAAAAGCAGATCTTCAGGTGCTGTCTCAGAGCTCCACATAGGGTGGCTGTCAGTGGAGATGAGCGCCTCCGGCAGCACCAGACTGGGCTGCAGCCCCAACTTGCTGCAGGTGAACGAGCCAAAGCGCTATGGCTCCACATTGTCGCTGGAGGAAAAGTGTGAGCAGTCTTTCTTCCTCTTTTACTACTACAGGATGGAGGACGAGGCGGTGCTGGACCGGGGGGCATCATTCGTCAAGCACCTGTGTGACGAGGAGGAGGTAGAGGGTAAGTTTACCTGCCTCTGTGCACTTACAATTTTCTGCATGTGAACAAAAAAAGTCTTCCTTGCAGCATAGACCAAAAGGCATCTTAAAGATTTTTTCATGATTTAACAAATTCATGAATTTCTTTTTCTTTATTCACTTCCTAAATTTGTCAAGTTTCTCAGAAGTCACTGGGTCCCATTTATTATTTCAAGCTTTTTTTTTTCTTTCCTTAAATAACAACAGTTTTTCTGAATTAGTTTTTTTTTCCAAAGCAAGGGCACTCACTGAGGGAAACAGGAAGGGCATCATTAGCTAAATTTCATGCACTTATTGCACATAACACCATGACATGTGAGCTGGCACACGGAAGATGTAGAAGATGAGGAGCATGTGATCGTGTGTTTACCCCGCTAATCTCCTGAAAGACCTACAGGACAACAAAGAGAGAGGAAAACACTGCAGAGTGCAAAAATATCTTTAGTGAGTGCCATCTTTAACTTTATTGTCTTTGCTTGTTTCTAAATGATCAATACACTTTTAAGCAAGCTTAAAAAGTGTATTTGTGTATTGTACAGAAACAAAAATAAAACAGCGGCTGTGTAGAATGGTTAAAAACACTGTGGCACAATTTGTTAACTTATGTAAGGTACAGATTCTGGAATAATCCTTTAGCTAACCTAGCTGTACTGTACCCATGACTGACAGTCAACGTTTTAATCTGTACAGTAGTGTCCCTCATGCTAGAAGTCAACATTTTCTCAGGTGTCACTTTAGCTTAAACCCAACTTCAAACTCTCTGACTTCCTGTGCGTAACCGGCTTCTCAGCTGCGTCTGTGTGCGTCCTTGTATGTTGGCTTAGTTTCTTTTTGGGCTTGCTTTGCTGCTTGCTCAGGGATGGCAGCCTGACTTGGGCCGAATGGCTGATTTAAAAAGAGCAGAACGAGATGAGACAGCTTTGTAAGAGGAGCTTTGGAGCAATGACTGCGTTATCTTTACCCTGCACTGATTAGTTTGTGCTTTTGCGCCAGCTGTCTAGGTCACAGACACTGTTAATGCTCAGGTGATTATGCAGTTTGTGATGTGTTTTTTATCTTTTGACCAAACTAACCATATGAGGTCAAACTGAATAGTATGTGCATGTTGACTGTATGTGTTACAGTTAAAGTTATTACAGTGCACTTAAACACTGTGGTATGACGTTATGGTATAGTACTTTATGGTATGACCTGTCAAAATAATAAATGTTTGTATTTCTGTGATACAGTTTTGAGTTTTAATATATTGTTACTGCTGAGTCATAAGTGAGCTAAAACATGGTTTTTGGCAGAGAAACCCTACCTTCTCACAGGCTGTTCATTATTAGCATGCAGCCCGTGTTGTGTGGCATGTTGCCACCCGGCCGCATGCAGCTTGTGTTGTGTGGCATGTTGCCACCCGGCCCGCTCTTCTGGGCAGCGCTGAACAGCACAGTTACTTGGGAAACTGGCGGTGGTGTTGCCTCTCCTCAGAAATCTAGTGAGCCAAACAAACCTCCCTGCAAACACAAGGATTTCACTTCATTCAGTTTGTGCTTTTAGGCAGCTCCAAGAGAAGTTCTTCTTTTCCCTTAAAAAAAAAGAACAGGAAGTTGTTTCACAAAGCTGCTCTGGCCGTGCGCAAATCTTCCCATTCCAGCTTCTTGACTATTTTTTATTCCTTGTCCTCTCATTCTCTCACCTCCTTTCTTGTTGCTGTTCAGCCTGTGCAAACGTTTTCATGCTCTGCTTTATTGCTCATCTATCAGCTCGAACGGCACTGTGCTCTTTATTTCTTTCTGTATATCTCTATCTCTGTCCTTGTTTTTTGATGCTGTCCAGCCAAATGCTTCTAGGTCTTGTAAAGCCCATTTACTATCTGGTGAAACTGGTTGCTTCTTAGGTCAGCTCTAGTGTTTCTTGGTGAATTAGTATGAAGGTAAAACATAAAGTAACACCTGGACTTTATTTCAAGCAATTTTTATGCCATTCAGCCTAAATTGTCCTTTTAGTAGAAGGAAAGGAAGGATAGCCTTCATGATCTCATCTAGCTAAAGAAAACTGTGAACCTGACTTTGTGTTTCCTTTGTTGCAATTGGTTCGACTCAGAAGTTGTAGCAGCACAATATTGTCATCTGAACATCTAAATCAAGGAGCAGGGCAAAATTATATAAAGACAGCAAGGATTGTGATGTTCACAGTGTATCAGATTGGATGTTTTAACTGTACATGAACGGTAAACTCCTGAAATTCCCATTTATGAAGTAGGGTAGGCCGAAACACAGCAAAATAAATTACAGCCAAAGACACGTATGGATCCTCAACAGCCCTTAATTTATGAGTTTTATTTATGAGCTTACTGTCTGACAATGAAACACACAAAGGAAAGAAAGCTGCTACATTTGGAACAATTTAGTTTGAAATAGTATTTCTGAGTAGTAAAGTAAAATATCAAGTACAGTTTTATTAGCTAGTTAAACTGTAAGTTTATGCATTGGTTAGTACAAAAAGGTTCCTGTTCCACTTAGTTTTAAGGCAGTCAGTTTGCTTAATTAGTTAGTTCTAATTAATTAGAATTTACAGGTAAGGAAAAGTAAAGCTGTTGTGAAAGGATGTGCAGTTCATAACCTGAAAGAACAGCACAGCTCTGAGCCGTGTCAACATGAGCTTTCAAACTGACCTTGACATTTGCAGCATTTGAATGTTATTTTCATGAAAATTGACACAATTACAGATATTAAAAACTGGCATAAAATAAAATCAGTCCTTTCAGAACAGAAATGTTAGTCACCTTTTATTGGTTGGAGCTCCAACATACTGTATGATGTTAAATTTAGTGGAATCTGTCATTAATTCACTGATCCAGTCAGTTTTCATTTGCTGTGGACTGAGTCTAGTCAGTTTTGTTTCCTAGAATAGATGAATTCTGTTTTTAATCTGCGCCTCTGTGGCCGACGATGCTGGCAGAACTTCAGCCGTGTATGTCTGATCTTGTGTTGTTATGTTATCACATAAACAGGGGATGGGTGCTATCTTTGTTGAATCAAAAGCCTAGTGGGCAGCAGCTCTGGTGTGGGTGATGCTGGTTCTGTCACCAACTGTTGGTCTTTGTTTCTGTCGGTCTGTTGTGGTCTTCCTATTTTTTTAATGCCATTTTGCATCTGTTTACCAGTGTTCCTGTCTTTATTTCATTCATCTTGAGTCATGTGAAGGTGAAAGCTGCCAAAGCAGACTCGATGGGCTGAAGGAATTGTAAAAAAAAAAAACATTGGCCAGATATTTCTTCATATATATTTATTCTAGCCATTTAACCACACTTTAAAAAAATCAGTCATGTGCAAACTGCATTGAAAATTTGGCCACAGATAGATGAGTAGAAAGCTTGACCAAGTAAATAATTTTTCAGATTTACAGCATCCCTTCACGTTTTAGCTAACGCTGTTCAAACTGTTTTACATCCTCCTCATCTGATGTTTGACATTTCCTTGGCGCACTGAACCGTCGGTGTCAGTGAATTTAGATGAACCCCTAAAGAACAAGGCATTGTGGTACAAGTGAATAATGAATGTTGTTGTGCTTCAAGAGAGATCATTGTTTTGCTGAGGGGACACACCACTTCCGGGTTCAGTCATATGTAGTGCTTGGCTCAGCGTTTCCCGACCTGTGACGGTTGACAGTGATCGCACAGAGCTTTTTTGTTTCAGGATAACTTTTCATGTTTACTCTGAAAAATTGCTTTTCATCTGCTAAGAAAGAAATTAATTTGCCAAGGTTTCAGTTCAGCTTCTGGGGAACCTGGACAGTGATACTCCAGAGTATTTCTTTAAATATCAAACATGTATGTTTGTAGACACTTAGCTGCCAGTTTATTAGGTACACTTAGTAAAACCTAATGCAGTCTAGTAGCTCCTTGCAATCATGAGAACCTTTACAGGGGCCCAGGAACCATTTATAAAACTCGGGTAGTAGATTGTAGAAGCTGCTTCTTTGTCTACTGTATATGTTCACCATTAAACATGTGTAGTATGATCCAAACAATTATCGATTCTTTAGTCTATCATTAAGTATCCAGCTGCAAATTCCAGTGAAAACTTAAGGTCTGAATTCCACCCATGCTACTATTATGTTGAAGTTTAGCAGTTAATAAAAATGGTCTTAACCAGATACCTAAATATCAGCCATATGACCAGCTGCCATCAAATCCATGTGCCCTGCGCCACCAGGAATGCAGTCATGGCTACCTGTTACTTCTTTCCTTTTGACAGGGTACTGCAGCCTCTCTGACCCTGCTCTGCAGTGCTGTCTCAAGTCTGTTCTAGGCCATGTGAATTGATCAGTGGTCCAGATTAGGTTACGGTTATGTACTGTATTGTACTCATGATTTTTGTTTTTGCAGGTCACCACACTATTTACATTGGTGTGCATGTGCCCAAGAGCTATCGACGACGGAGACGCCACCGTAGGAAAACCAGCCAGAAGGACAGAAAGGAGAAGCTGACGGAGACTGCTTCTGACAAGTCAGACACGGAAAACAACGATGAGGCCAACAGCATCCTCAAGCCTCTCAGTAAGTTCTGATGGACTCCATGTTGAGCCCGATTAGGCCTCATGTCTCTGCTGAACGCTTTTCCAGAAAAGCTCCCGTATCTCCCTGTGACCCCCAAAAGGTTGCTGAGTCCACTTAGTGGCCAGAAACAGCCATGCATGTCTTGCTGAGCAATGAGTCTGTTTTGACAGAACAGAGTGGATTTTCACTTGTAGTAACAGCTACTCCAATGCAGTAGTATTAGTGCTGATATGAGTCTCTTGAGCTCAGTGTCTTAGTGTGTGTCTTCCTGTGCCTTTGTACTTGGTTGTACATCGAATGGTGTCTGTCTTTGTGTGTGGGTGTGTTGAGTTTTAAAAGCTATCCAGTAAACATTATAAGAAGAAAACATCATGCTCACCAACACAGAGTTACAAGGCAAAACGGTTGGGGAACAAAAATTTGTCTGTTTTGGTGAAGACGGGATCTTCTGTTATTTTGGGAAGAAAAACGCAGGATATGGGCTAATTCTCTGATTACTAATGAGGTCCATGTGCAACACGAATCCCCTGTGAATAAGACTGAAAAGGTCTTTGCTTTGCAAATTCAGTAATGAGCCAAGTCACTGTCATTTCTAGAAAGTGATGTAATTTTACACATGCTTGCTTTCACATGATGTGACAGAACCAAAATATGCCCGAACTGAATTTTGTAACATGGGATTTTCTTCAGGACATAAATCAAATCGGAGAATAGATTACATCAGTACATCTGCTTGTTGCCACTGAATGTGATGTTGCATATTTACAAAAATGGTGAGTTTGATTTTGGCTGTTCCTCAAGCACAGTCGGTCCAACGTGCCAGAGGAAGCAATTATTGATAAATCAGTGTTTCAAATATAATGTTGCTAGCTGTTCGGATTGGGATGCAGAAATCCAGTATAATCTAAGCTTTTCCAATCCTGAGTCGTGGGTTAATGCTGCAAACCTCAGCCTTTTTTGAATTGTGCCCCTTAACAGCCAAGGAGTCCTTAGCTGTCACTGTTTGCCACAGGTTGCAGCAGTTCAGTCAGTGAACACTGTCATAAGCCGGGATGTAAATTTCACAAGAGAATATTTCAAAGGTGGTCAAACATATAACTTTGTGTCTTATTTGCTATTTGTTTTTTTGTGCTGCTCAGTTTTATCTTGCAAGTCACTGGTGGTCCCAGATTGGGGACCATTCAAGAAGTACTACTGCAATAAAGAAATGATGTTGGCAGAGCTCCAGTTGTATTCGCTGAAGTTGATGGGTGCTGGCTATGGGGCAATGAAGGCTGTGGCGGGGGTAAATATCCAGTCTGTTGTGTGTAAACAGCAGTGCAGTTACTCTTCAGTCTTGCTAGTTCATTTGCTCACACTTGGTTTCACAAGATTAATCTTTTTTGAAACTGCTGCTTATATTTGGAGATGGCATGGATCACAGGCTGGATGCCATCGTAGAGGAGTGTTGATTTATTTATTTATTTATTTATTTATTGTACTGGTCTGTGCATTATTATAAAGTCTGACTTTTGTATTTGGGTCTTCCACTTGCATTTGTGCAGGTTGATGTTTGGAGCAGGATGCATGAGCGATAATGAGCGGAGCTGCTCTGTGTGGTTTTGAACCGAGGAGCGCAACAGGTGAACAACTCTGTAAGCGAGGAGTGGAAATTCTCAGTGCTCCACACCGCTCAAATGCTATGATGTGTAGAGTTGAAAAAATGTTCTAATAATTAATAAGATTTGAAAATCTATGCAGCACAGTGGTTACCACCGTTGCCTCACAGTGAGAAGGTTCCGGGTTCGGGCCCCACCTGGGACCTTTCTGTGTGGAGTTTGCATGTTCTCCCTGTGCTTGCGTGGGTTCTCTCCGGGTACTCTGGCTTCCTCCCACAGTCCAAAGACATGCAGCTTAGGTTGATTGGTGTCTCTAAATTGCCCATCGGAGTGTGTGTGTGTGTGTGTGTGTGTGGTTGTTCGTCTGTGTGTTAGCCCTGCGATGGATTGGCGACCTGTCCAGGGTGTACCCCGCCTTCGCCTGATTGCCGGCCGGGATTGGCTCCGGCCCCCCCCCCCCGTGACCCCGTTCAGGGACTAAGCCGTAGAAAATGAATGAATGAATGAAAATCTATGATAGAATTTGAGCAAAGTGTCTCACAACACACATTTTCAGCATGCATGGATATTTAACAGCTACTGAATAAGACTCCTGGTACATTTGTGTGACTAGAGCCAGGACAAAGTCAAAGCCCTGCTGATCCGTGTACACGTGACATAAAAACACATTGTGACTATGACTATGACTACAAGCAGCAAATCTTCACTAAAAGGGACATTTTCTGTGACTCGAGAGAAGCTCTGGACAGGCATGCAGTATACCTAGTGTCCTGCTGTTACACCCCGCCCTTCTTCAGATTACTCTCTCTGGGAAACATGGCTGGCCCCGGGAGAAGGCCCTCGTCTGTTGACTGAAATGAAATCCTCTTGTTTGGTCAGATGGGCGCTGCAGGGACTACGAGCCCATCCTCTGGGTTACATGTGTGTCCACTGCAGAATTATTTGACCCCTGCTCATTTTGATGAGCTTGTGTCGATTACTTTGCCCTTTTCCATCTTTTCTTACTAGGATCAAATGTTCTCTCAAAGTGTATTACAAAGATTACTGAGAAACCTAGTTCTTATACAAATAGGTTTAACTTCCTAAAGCCGGGGAGTGCCAGCTATGACTGCCGTGATGTAGTCAGTTACTTGTGAACACATCTCTAATGTTATACTCATATTTAATTGGAAGGACACCTGCTCCTCTCAGAGTTTTGTCATACAATCCTTAGACTTCATAAGGCTTTTAAAACTGACTACTCAGATGCAAGGGTTGAGGTAGAAATCTGCCTGTTTTTCTCTGGTTCTTGAAAGGCTGACATTTTAGAACTACTTGGTTTTCATGGGGGGAAAACAGCAATGTGTTGCATCCCCAAACATTTACAGCTATTACACTGGATACTACTTCCCTTTGATGGATCCTGATAGTGAGGTGTTTGTTGAGGGTTCCTTCTAATATCACAAACCTTAGTGTCACTTTTGGTCACTTCAAGTCAGTGGACAGAGGATTTTGCAGAAAAGAAGTGCAAAATCTGTTTTGTAAAACCTTTCTTTTGCACAGGAACGCTGAGACCTGAGTAGAAATAGGTTGAGTATTGTGATGCTTTGCACAGAAAGACAGATGTGGAGATATTGTTCAGTGTCACGGGGTAAATCACATCAGTGGGAAAGGTCTCTGGGTATTGATTAGATTAATCACTTAAATGTTTGAAATGCCATGCTTTTTGTTTGACTTTGTCTTTCTGGAGAGCACAATGAGTTCATCTTCACTGACTGACACTTACAGTAGCTCAGCAGTGTCCATCACTCTCAGCCTTATTTTACTCCTCTGTTTTTTCAAGACAAATATAAGCCAGTGTTTTGTGCTTTCCTAGAGGGTGATTTGGATAAAATGGGCCTGCATGAAGAGATATTCAACTAGATGCAAACTTTGCAGTTTCATTCCACCTATTTTCTGTTCACTGGCATCATCTAATTTACTGGATTTCAGTAAATTATACGTTGCTCTTCAAAATGACTTTACATTAGTCAGACAGTGGACTTGAATTTGTTGCCATCAGTTGAAGGTGGCTTTATGGTTTTATGTTTTTGCAGCACACAGCATGTTTGCATTTTGATGTGTACAGGCTACTGTTGCGGGAGAAATTAGAATATCTGCTGTAAGACTGCTGTAAAATAGTGAATCCAGAAAGAAAATCTTGAAAATTGCTTGTTAGGGGCAATTCAGTGCAACACTTCTGCCTTAACATTTGTGTTTATGAAGCTCAAAATGTTTCAGTTTCTGGTGCAATTGCCATAAGTGTATAAATTCAGTTATATGGTTATTATTGAGGTCATGGTTAAAGGTGTTGTTGTACTGGACTACGTTATATTCAGAACATGTCCCCGGGTCGAGCCCAGAACCTTTTTGCTGTGAGGCAACAGCGCTAACCACTGTGCCACCATGCCGCCCTGCTTAATAGGCATGGACATAAATATAATCTCATTCACTCCTCAATCTGGAACAAATAACTCCCCAAGTTAGTGAGTTTTAAAACTCTCTGAATAGCTGTCAAATGTCCAAGTCTTACCTGTGTACCCGTGGAGAGCGCACAGTGGCAGGTTCGTTTCAGGTTCTTACCCCTCAGCTGCTATTTGTTACATTCTTATCAGAAGCTGTTCACCTCAGTTGTCACAACAACATACCAGAGCGTGATGAAGCACTGTGCTGTCAGTGGACCCACCTCAGGGTGTCCCTCTGCATTCAGCCCGGTCCCTGTTGCTGCCTGTGTGCTAGCTGCCCTGCATACTGAATGTCAGACTTTGTGCCATGGAAAACCTCTCCTGTCCTCTCAGTGATCCTCTCCTAGAATGAGGTGACACATCATCATTGTGTGTACAGTCACGGACAGTGAACGTAGTATTAGATCTCATGCAGTTTATCATGCTGAGTTTTGCAAAAAAGGTCAGAGGAGATGGAAGGTATTTATGTGGGATGCATGTCAAGAGTGGGACTAAGCAGGCCTTTAGTGGCAGTCGCACTAAGCTTTCTGCTGGCCAGCGGGCATTCTTCCTCCATCCCCTATCCCATGAGCCTCTGCTGCTGGGACAAAGTCTTCTTTGTATGCCTGTGGCTCTTGGCTAGAGCACACAGAGCTTTGAAATTGCATTTGAACGATGGGATTTTCATTTCTGTCCCTCCTTTTTTGTGCTGGCTCTCACCCCTCTTTGCTTTCACTCTGCACTGAGGCTCACCTCCCAGCCTTCCTCGCCCACCCTCCCACCTTTCTCTTAGCAACTGCTCAAGTGGGACACCGACACTGCTTGTTACCAGCTTGGGTTTTTGCTGGATAGGCAGCATCAGTTTCTCATGAGGAATTAGAAAATCTCTCTTGGATTTGAGAGTAAAAACTATTTTAGAAGATAGCTGCATGTTTGAAGAAGCTTGAGGGAATTTAGTACATGTTACATGTTAAGGTCTAAACCTTATTATTATTATCATTATGTTGTGAATGCACTTTGTAATTTGATTATAAAAATTATAGTTTCAAGATGCAGAAAGATTTAAACTATGTCAAGAATGTTTATTGATTTTTGTACCAGAATATATTTCTGCTACAATAGTGTTTCCTTCAGTTGGTTCTGTTTACACCTAATATACCAATTTTGTGAATTTTTAATTGCTGTGGGTGAATTTTCAGACTCCCTGATGATAAACAATTTAATGCAAAACTTCAATAATTAATTGATTAGCTGACTGACAGAAAATAAATCACTGTTTCAACTATTTTGATACTGAATCTGTTAATACACTAGTTTCACATAGTTCAAGCACAAAGTGCTTATTTAAAGTCACCTTGGATTCTGGGAAACCCTGAACATATGCACTATTTTCTGACATTTGATTAATCACTAAAGGTATTAACACATTATTAGATAATAAAAATAATTATTAATTGCATCATTTCATGTTGGTCTTTGGAAAGATAACACTTTTACTGCCCTGTTTACACTGCAATTCTTTACCACTTCTTTTTATTATCTGCAAGCAGAGTTAAGAAATACAGCAGTCTTTGCCATGTCTGAGGCTTTGACCCTCACCTTGCACTGCTTGCTGTTGTTTGCATATAATTTTAGCAATGTAGATATTTAAAGCTTGTTTGAACTGTTTACTGTAATTTGTGTAAATTGCTCTGGATGCCAGTATCAGCTAAATGTGGACACATGTAAATTACTCAGCCTATAGGGTGTTATTAAGTAAGTTGCAGTGACTTAAGATAGTTCCAGCTTGTGTGTGTGTGTCTGCCAGCAGACAATTTATCCCACACCCAGTAATCTTAGAGCTGCTTGTCTGCTTGGGACCTGCTGCACTTGTTGTCACTCTGCTGCAGAAAAAAACAGTGAGGTGGAACTTCAAGCCTTCACCGCGCTTACTGCCGACTGACTGAATGACTCAGTGTGGTGTTTGGTCTACTGTATATATGAACGTCTAAATTTTACTTGGAAAGAAAAATGTGCGGTCAAAGATTCAGCTCTTAGCTTAGCATGCAGCCAGAGCCTTCCTCTGTAAGGCAGCTTGTTTTTATTTCCACATTTACATAAATTAAAGTCTGCAATTACTGATAGTAAGTTCATTTTGTGAATTCTTGATTTAAGGGCAGGATAGCACATGATTCTGCATATGGGTTTTCATTCTGCAAGACCTTGCTAGCCATTTTATTTGGCAAGTTTTTGTGTCAGTTTTACATGTTTTTTTAATGCTGACAATATGAAGAATCCAAGGGAAACACTGATTAACTGTGTTTTGGGGAATAAATATGGTCAAAATTAAATATATTCAGTATCTGCAGTAAATACACTGGTGCCACAGTATTAGCAAGCTGTTATGTAATCAGCTGGGCAGCTTAGTTATTATGGCTCACATGCACACACATGCTTGCATGCACACACACAATCAGTGACATGCATTTCATAACCCTGACCTCAACCACCACTACATGACCGCACTCTTATCTAAACCTTAACCCTGATCTAACCTCAACCATAAAATGAAGTCTTACCCTTCAAAGGGCCCTTGGAAGACCAGACAAAAATGTCCTGACTTTCTGAAAAGACCTATCACAACAAAGACACAGTACAAGAGTACACAGACGATAAGAATAATGGGGCTTCCCCATAATGGTCGAATAGTCGAGTTATTAGTCAAGAGACCTGTCATTTGACTGAGACTCTTCAGGTCGAGCTTTTGTTTTCATTCTACAAAAACTGGCTAACCATTTTGAATTCCCACTTTGTGACATGCATCCATCTGAACAGGACTAGGAAGCTAACAAAAATGCACAGGGAAAATATTTCACAGAGGAATTATAAATAAGAGGGACTGTTCACAGTGCCACACATCAAACGCGCAGTAACAACATGCTAACATGCTAACATGTTAACTGACAGGAGAAGCTTAAACTTAAACTAGGCTATAACCATGTCTCAGAAGGAAAAACTGCTGATAAGAACAGAAATTCAACAGAAATACAAGTGTGCTGCCTGTCTTGTTATTCTGACAAATCCACATGGCAGCCTGACATTATATATTATCAATTTAAATAGATTGCAATTTGATAAATGGTCTTATATGTGATTAGATAGATAGATAGACATAGATATGTGCAGAAGGGAAATAAATTTCCCCACTCGCCCCACTTCAGGGCGGTCTTGTATTCCTTCCTTCAAGCTCGGGTCCTCTACCAGAGGCCTGGGAGCTTGAGGGTCCTGCGCAGTATCTTAGCTGTTCCTAGGACTGCACTCTTCTGGACAGAGATCTCAGATGTTGTTCCTGGGATCTGTTGGAACCACCCTCCCAGTTTGGGGGTCACAGCCCCCAATGTTCCTATTACCACAGGGACCACTTGTGCCTTCACCTTCCACATCTTTTCTAGCTCTTCTTTCA